TATTCTCCTTGAGTTAAAACATAACAAACAAAACGAGAAAATAGCCATCCATAAATGCATTCTAAGCTGCTCTTCTAAATGCATAATTGTTCGATATATGCATGCATATTGAGTAAAATGTCTTTTTATTTATTTATTTGCCATAAACTGTATGTCAATTTCATAAATTTTTTAAATGTACCGTACTGTAACATTCTACAAAGGTGTTTGGAAATGTTATACGAGTAAACAAGCGAAAGGCCTCAACTTTTTTTTTCTTAGATCTGTCTTGCTTGATATCGATTGAAGTTTGGTGTATTTTTATAACAATTTGTTACTCAACCAAAAGTAACGAATGGCCAGATGTAAGTTATTTAACAAAAGGTAGTGGTATTGCTAGATATCAATAAGTACATAATGGGTACTTTGTACATAGATTACCAATAAATTAAGTAATTATAAAAATCAACAATCATTTTTGTTATCTAAATTTGTAAATAATTATAGTTTATGGCGGCTAACTAAAAAAAGCATTGCGCGAAATCCTTATAAATTTTCTCCGATTAATGATATTGAATTTTTTCATGATTTATTTTTTACAAACGATTATCTTAACACTATACTGACTGAATCTGAAATGACCTTGAAGATAACTAAACTCTAAAAAATAAATTATAACAAAGAAATTTTTTTAATTAATACACAAAAGTTTTTTTTTTAATAAAATAGTTATTAAACCACAAAGTTAGCAATTTCTCAAACCGCATTCGCAGATTGCGGTCAGTTGCATTACTAAAGTGCTCGCAGTTTGCGAAACATTGAAGTGAAAATGCAGATTAATAGGTGCAATTATATTAGCTACTGTCGAATAAGATCGTAAAGGATTAGATTTAATGTTGGTGGTTACCATTTTAGTTTAAGTTTAATCTTAGCTAAAACTGACAAAAATTGAAGTTCACTTCACTATTTTTCAAAGGGATAGGTTTCTGAACTATCACTATTTTATGGCACTATTCATCAAGTGATCGAATTCACATGAGTGATAAGTTTATAGAAATTTAAAGGTTATCATAGTATTACGCCAATATGTGGAAATCCATACCAAATAAAAAAAAACAGGGGCATCATTAATTTTTGTTTTGATTTAAAGGCAACGACTTCTGAATCATACCGATTACTTTAAGAAGCATATAGTCGATCCGCTCCATTACATGACACATGTGAAAGATGGTTTAGTTGTTGCTGATAAAGACCACTTAAATTGCCAAACGGGAATGAGAATTACAAGCATTGCAAGATGAAAATGATTCACAAACACAAAAGCAGTTAATAGACCAATAATTGTTATCCAACAAGTTGTTTCCAATCACCAACGAAAGATGAAAAATGAACAGGAAATAATTAGGTACCACATGAGTTAAGCGATAGGCAAATGGTACGGCGCAAAATCGCGAGTGAAAGAAGAATTATGCTAACCTTACAGAAAATGCACTTTTTTAGTTTTAGTCTAGGTGACTGAATTCTTCATAAATATAAGAATTTATTTATAATCTTAGGTAAAGAATTCCAAAACAAAAGCTTACAAGGTAAATGACGTGTTTTAACTTTCGTCGAATGGAAAGGCAAAGACTATCGGATAAGCGCAAGGGGAGGTCATTAGTGGCCGATAATTTTTGAAATACTCTTTAAGATATTAAGGACATCTGGTATTGGAGAACACTGAATAGGAAAAAAATACATGACTTTGTTGCCAAATGGGAAACCCTAAAGGCTTTAGGCGAAACTGAGAGACATGATCATATTTACATAGGACTCATTCAGAGTATACTGAGTAATCCTAGTTCCGATATTACCCTGTGCCTATGTAGTTTGGTGGAGCAATGCCTACACAAATCTACTCAGATAGAATTAGGAAACTAAATAGTATGTAAGTATTTTTTTTTTTGTATCGATGGGGCTGTCGTGCTTTAAAGACAAAAGCCCCAAAAATATTAAAGATAATAAAAAAAAATTATCATATTTACGAAGTCCATAAATGGAACCAATGACGAGATTTTGAGGCCGCTAGAATTTACCTCCAATCCATCCAGACCTCACGGTCTGGGTCACACGCATTAACGTAATCAAGGGTTAGGAGGAGAAGAGACTATGCGATAAATAGTCTGAGCGTCAAAAAATTCCGCAATCGCAGCTAAAAATAACTTCCTGCTGACCTTAGTAATTTGAGGACGCCAGGAGAATATTTTGTGAATGGAGTTTCTGAGAGTTCTTCCTTATTACAACAAACCGCATTTCATACGAGGGTCAAACTGAAAGTTCTTAGAAAATCAAAAACTGATTACATTAGCCAGTTATTAGTTTTATTACATCTTTTCAAAATATTGTCCATTCACGTCAATACACCGCTGCATGCGATGGAACCACTGGGAAAAGCACTTTGCCCACTCGTCCTTAGGGGTCTCTTCAATGGCATCGCAATACGCAGCCACCGCTTCTTCAGCATTCATAAACCGCTTTCCTTTAAGTTTTTCTTTAATTTTTGGAAATAAATAAAAATCACAAGGCGCGAGGTCGGGGCTATACGGCGGGTGACCCAGTAATTCAACGTTTGATGTCGCCAAATAGTCGATCGTTCGCTTGGCGGTGTGCGACGAGGCGTTGTCGTGGTGAAGGAGGATCCTACTGCGAGGTCGTTTCTCTCGAACTTTTTCCAAGACAAGTGGCAAACAATTTTTAGTGTACCATTCTGCAGAAACTGTTTTTTGATCCTCTAACACAATTGTTGCAAAATGACCTATCCTTCCAAAGAACGAGGCCACCATTTTTTTTCCCACACTTCGATCTCTCTTCACTTTAGTTGGCAACTCCTCGAAAGGAAACACCCACTGAGCAGATTGTCTTTTGGTTTTAGGATCATAACAGTAAATCCAGCTTTCGTCACCTGTTAGTATGTCGAACACAGCATTTGAGTCACCTCCGTTAAATCTTTCAATCATTTTACGACACCAATCCACACGATGGAGTTTTTGAGCCTCAGTCAAATTATGAGGTATCCACCGGGCGCAAAGCTTCCTGACCGCTAAATGTTCGTGGAGGATTTTGTGCACTTGACTCATACCGATGCCTAAGCTTGTCCGAATCTGTTGATAGGTCACTCTTTTGTCAGTCTCTATCATACGCCGCACAACACAGATGTTATCTTCAGTCGTCGCCGTAGAAGGCCGTCCCTCACGTAAATCATCAGTGAGATTAGTGCGACCACGTTTAAACTCATTAAACCAGTTGTAAACAGTCGCACGAGATGGGGCTTCATCGTGAAAGGCCAATCGTAGTCTATCATAACTTTCTTGTTGACTTAAATGACATCGAAAGTCATAAAAAATCATTGCACGAAAATTTTCTCGTGTTAAATTCATGATGACGTGACACAGACAATTTTCAATTTGCCGCCAAATCGTAAAACAAATGACAAATGAATGAAATATATACTCAGTAATATTGGCAAAGAGTTATATTTTCAAATTTTAGAATTATTTTTTTATTATATTGTTTATAAGTGGCCAGTTCTAAAAACTTTCAGTTTGACCCTCGTACTTATACAGAACTGTAGATATATTATTTTCGTGTAGTTATTACTTCTTCGTGTAGAGCTTCAGTGGCACATAGGTTAGTACGCTTGACCTGCGATTAACAACCGCTAAGCAACTTTCGCAAGGGCCGGTAATAGGATGGGTGACCAAAAGCACATTATGCCGTTGGTCCATCTGCATCTGCAGTCATTAATACCCAACAATCCGCATTGTGCCCTCGTGGTGGGTGATGGCCCATTCTCCCTATTCGATTCCATCCATAGAGTAAACCTTAGCCCCAGTAGTGGAGACATTGATAGGATGACGATGATGGCTCATTACTTCTACATATAAGTCATATTTTTTCTATATTATTTTACTTTTAGGACTAATTTCAATTTTATTAATTAATAAAAAATGCATTAATCAATATATACATTTATTTCCATTAGTGAAAAACCCTTATCGTTTAGCTAAAGACATTGCTACTGTGCATATGAGAAGATGTCATCATTATTTTTCATAGCTTCATTCTCTCCCATTTATGGTAAAAAAATCGCTTCGAATGTAAGTTCATCATCAATATAATAACACAATTTAATAGTGTTATTATGAACCCTTTATTTAGATTTAAATTACATGCTCACCGAGGTAAACATGTTTTATGTTTTTAAACTACATATTTATTCACTGTTACATGCAACATCCAACCTTTAGTTCAATCTATAATTCAAATAAACAATTTTCTCTCATTGAAATATATACGCGTTCACAAGTAAAGCTCTAGTTGCAGCGTGATGTTATATAGCCTAAAGGCTTCCTCGATAAATGGTTTATTCAACACAAAAATAATTTTTCAATTCGAACCTGTAGTTCCTGAGATTAGCGCGTTTGAACAAACAAACAAACTCTTCAGCTTTATAATATTAGTATAGATTTATTTATTTACAGAATTAATATTTTATCATTGTATTTTTATGTTTCTTTTATATGTTATGTCTTATTATTATTTGTGTTTGACGCCATTTATCAGGCGCCGTCAGAATATCAGTGCTTTTGTAGTGTTGTAACTACAATGTTACAAAAAAAATCGCTGAAATAGCGACCCTGATTGATCTCGCGTGATGCACTCTTGAGTTGAGTGGGACGGGTGAAAAAATATATTTTTTTATTTTTATTCTATTCTCTTACTTTGTGTTCTTCTGAGTGTACCGCTTGTGAGGCCAGTAAAATGGCTTTATATCTTTCTTTCTTTCTTTACATAATAGCGCTGAAGAGTTCAAGGCTGTTTACAATAAAATAGCAGAGCTGAAATCTAAAAACATGGAGAAAAAGTAAATACTATTTTGTTTGTTTCAGTCCTATAGCGATTTCTTCAAAGCCCTCTTGTTCAACGCTAGAGTCATAGTTCAGATATTCTTCATGATGGGTGGTTTTTTGATGGCTTACAAAATGCTCACCTATGCTGAAACACATCCATTCTCCTTGAAGACTATTCCTATGGCATTGGTGAATCGGTGGTTAAGGTAAGTGAGAAAATTTTTCCAACATTCAGTATTAATTTTATAACATTATTATTAAAAATATTAATTACAATATTACCGGTTATAATGTAAATAAAATTATATTAAAAGCAACGGAGTAAGAAAATTTTAAAAATTTATTATAAATTGGAAAAGGTAGGCCTATTCTAACAATCCACAATTTTCTTTTGATTTTCAATTTGAATTTCTTTTGAAAATGATAAAATGGTTAAATAGCTAAAATATTCAAAGACCTTTTATAATACGCCTGCTGTTGAAATTTCGTTTGTCTGACTTCAAAAACGAATTCCCGGAATCCTCAAGATAAATGGGATTATCCAGGAATATTATTTTGGATTAGCTTATTTTGAATTTGATTGTTATTAAATTGTTTAACATATTTAAATCGAGTATTGTTATCATAATTGGTAGGTATTTGGGAATATGTCATCCACAACAATGAATAATGATAGAAGTCGTTATTTTTTCAGTTGATTAGTGTCACACGTGTACTGATACGGTGATAATTATCCAACATTTATTCACTGGAAGGCAGACATTATTTACGTTGAATATATAATTTATCATCATACACCTGGTTTTAATGATCATAAGTCTTCAATTTTTATACTTCTATGTCTCTATTTAGTAAACTAGCCTTTGCTTGCGACTTCGTCAGCGTCTAGTTTAGAGTCCAGGTCTAGTTTTAAGTCCAGAAATGAGAAAATTTCATAAAAATTTTCACCCTCTGATTTACCGAATTTTGTAAGCAGCTACGTCTTAAAAAGAACCTGCATGCAAAATTTGAAACACTTTTAGTAACGAAGTTTCATACAAACTTTCATCGCCTAATTTAGCCCCTTCGGAGTGGAATTTTAAAAAATCCTCTATTAGTGCTCCTCTACACTCCCTAAGGAATCTTCATTCCAAATTTCAACTTTTTACGCTCAGTAATTTCGGCTGTACGTTGTCTGTCAGTCAGTCAATAACGCAAGAATTTTATATATATAGATGTATCAAGGCTTTAAAAAAACGTTTTAAATGTACGATCTGGAGCTACTAGTCCTATTTTAAAATATCTCAGTGCAATTGATAGCTCTATTTTAACAAAAGGTTATGGGCCATTTATCATCACTCTGAGGCTGGAGTCGAGAGTAACGGTAAGTGAAACCGTGTGGCACAGCTGGTATTATTAATATTTTCTTTACTGCTGCCAATACAACAACAGGCTGAGGAAGTCAATATGTCAGTGTATTCAGAGTTGCTCCGTATTTTCAGTACAGAATATGTATTACTCTTGTTTTTTATTTTACTTATACTATATGTATTACACTTTTATGTAGAACTTACGTTTTCCATTTATTTTATAGAATGAAACTCTTAAAAATTATATAAGTGCGTATCTTTAGTTATACATGGCTTTATTACTGAAAGGAATGAATGTCTGATTGTCATGAGACTAGTCCATCTTCAAAGAGATTATAGCTTGAAATCCTTTTTTCGGTAGATTAATGCCTGCAGTTCTCGTGGTGATGGGACTGGCGATGACATGGGTGCCGCACTTAGGCTCTGGTCCAATGTGGGACGCCGTGGTCAAACGTGAGCGGGACATGTGCAGAAACAACTGGTGGCAACTAGTCATACTGATGCCAAATCTTTTCCCATTCGAACACCTGTGTTTGCCTCAGGCTTGGTAAGTTAACATCACATTCTATTATTTTTATTTTATCAGATCAAAATTCTATCACACAACTTTTTTATTGTCATATATTAACTTTTAAAGAATTAAGTAAATTGTGTTTAGGATCGCTGCATATAGGCGCGGAAAATCAGAGCTGATGAATCAGTACAATAAAGTCACTTCCCACTGTCTGTACACTGAGATCTTTTACACTACACAACGGATATCAATACTGTTCATCGATATACATAGTGATTCAAGAGGAAGGCTTATATTTTTAATACAGGACCACGCGGGCGAAGCCGCTTGCGGAAAGCTAATATAAGTATATGATATTAAATGACATTCAACCGTACACACTCGACAGATGATAATTATATGTTCAGTGAAATTTCTTCTTCTTCTTAACTTTAATGGCACTTTGCGTCACCACATTACTGCCAACTTCACGTAGGAGAACATTACACGATTTTAATACATTCATTCAACAAAACAATTTTGAATTTCAATTCTATCTTTCTACATAGATTTACCAAAAACAACTTAATACGTTAATATGATTTTAATACGTTAATTAAGAAATAATTTTATATAAACAATGATTTAAACATAATCATATTGAATCTAACCACAGACCACTATTAAATTAATTGTGTTACAAAAAGTAGGCGAAAGATAACACCACTGATGTTAAAGTTTTAATTGATTAATACTGAAAAATTTAGTTAGAGATTTAATTACAGAAGCATCACTAATTGACTGAAGAACAAAGTTGCTATTAAGAGGGCTTCAATGAAATTTGCATCGGTTCTTATATAATGTCAAATTGGTTATAGCTTTTTGTAGTTAAGATTAGTTAGTTGCTGATGGTGATTTGATCTTTGACAATTTTTAGGTGCATAAAAATAACAGCTTCACAAGAAGAATGATCATAATCGTTTTGTAATAGTTTATAAACTGTAGGTACCGTTGCCTAAGAGCTGGTAAATTTGTCCGCTGAAACGATTGCAAGATTATGCGAAAGAAATTGCCATAATAATTATATAGAAAACGAACATGAAATAGTTTTGATGTTGCCACACGCAACAAGGTGACGGTCTGCTCGGACAATGAAAATGGCCGACGATTTTTATCGTTTGGATTTTGAAAAAAATATAGGTAAAATAATTCCTTTTCATCTGCCCTATAGTGTGGAGAAACTTGGATAAATCTTTCAAAAGCATTTTGGGTTTGACAATGTTAACCGTTTATGACTCATCAAGCTTTAAAGAGTTAATTTTCGTTAGAGTCAAGACTCTATAAACTAAACGGTCGTTGTTAAAAATTCAAACATTACAGCAGTAGTACCCGGGGATGGAACACTCACTTACAAATGACAGTTGATATTTTAACTAGCGCCATCGTACGTATTACCCTGCAAACTGAAATTTCAACGGTGATGTAGCCGGCAACCAAACAAGGGGCTTAAAGTCAAAAAAAATGTTGACTTCAATGAAAGTATGTTTTGATCTCATTCATAACCTATTTTATTTCTTATAAGTTTTAAAAGAAAAATATTTCTAAAACATAAGATCTATCGTAGGATAATTGTGATTGTTGCGTAAATGTTGAAGTTTTGCTTGTAGAAGAAGCAATATGTTAAAAGTACACTATATAGACAGTTTGACAGAAGAATAGAAAGAATAATTTATGATTGTTGAACCGGTATTAATGCTAGTGATATGGAATTAAACGATTTAATGTTCTGCAGTAATGTTACATTTTTTTTAATGGACAAATAATGTAGTCATAATATAAGTCGCACTTGGCAGGTTTCTTTTATTGCAATATTTTATTATTTTTTTGAGGAATCGTATTTTGAAAATGTTTCTAATTATATCATATTTGTTTTATCAAAAAAAATAAATGGATGGATAAAAATATTAACATTTTCAAAACCGACCGACCATATCGATAAAATGTCGGCTAGGAATATCATTATGGTAAAAATATTAAATCTATGGATTTGCAAAAACTTGTGTTAACCTACATAAATTGAGACATGACTGATATTATACATTTCTTTCTAACGCATTAACACGGGTCGTAAATGAAAAATATGAATACATATATTCGCACGCTTGTTTATCGTGGTTTCTATGCTTTAGTTATTATTCTATGGTTTGAAACACTTCAAAAGTCCACGTATTATTATGAGAGAGTATGCTCATTTATTTTCACTGCAAAATATATATGTTTTTAATCAAAACTAATGGGAACACTGCATCGTAACAGTTGAGTTAACACAGCATTCGAATTTCGAATGAAGACGATTACGTCAATATGCAATTTTCCGGACGCTGAATTCAAAAATTACCCATTTCGTTTACAAAGTGCTATGTTTACGCATCTCCGATTGTGTTAACTTCTTTTCTGTTTGTTTGTAATTAAACGATTGCCCTTTCAGTATATGTGTATTCAGATAGTGTATAACGTTTAATAATGACGATCTATTAATGATGATGAGCTCGGTGGCGCAGTGCAATATTTGCACTGCGCCACCGAGCTCATCATGCTGTTAAGTGACTTTCGAAACGGTCGGTTACGGGAAAGGTGACCGAAGGCACGTTAAGCCGGTGGTCCCGGCTGCATTTGCAGTCATTAATACCCTCCAATCCGCATTGGGCCAGCGTGGAGGGAAGTGGCCCATCTTCCTTAACCATCCACAGGGAAGGCCTGTGCCCCTGCAGTGGAGACGTAAAAGGGCTGATGATGATGATTAATGATAATTGAAATGTAAGTTTAAAACAGTCGTGCTTTATTGATATTTTTGGTTTATAGAAAAGTATTTAATATTACCTAAATATCAATAATTAAAAGTAACAAGTACCTAAGTTGGTTCTACAGACATCTAATAATATTGGTTGAAAAAAATCTAGAAAGGGTTTATTTCACACGTCGTAGACCTACGCTAAGCTTGGCCGGATCGCTAGTAAATAAATAATATAGTAGTTACCTAGCTTATATTAATTTCTGGAATCTAACCTTTAATTAGATATTTTATAAAACAGGAGTAGTAGTCATTATTTCGTTTACCTATATTTATAGATATCGACTCATCAATTTCAATTTAGTAATTAACAAATTTCGAGTCAATAATTAAATTACTTTATTCCCATGCTTTCTAAGAACCGTTACCTAAACTGCTTAATTCTGTTATTTACCTTACAATGTAGTAATGTTTATTTGTAAAATCTTGCAACTAAACTATAAAGTATTTATCCTTCACCGACTTAGTTGAAATTTTACATATACATTTAGTTTAGATGACAATTTCAGTGGGATAAAGAGCAGGTTAAGAATTATAAGTATATCAAATTTCATCTAAATCCGTTAAGTAGTACATGCAAACATGCATATTTTTCCTCCAAACTTTCATATTTATGTATAAGATTAGTAACTATTTTCTACTATTAATCCTTATATAATTTACTTTTTAGAAAAAAAAAACTTACTACATATAAGTATATTAATTCATTCGCGAAATCTGATGTTGAAAGAATAAGGTCCAGTATGCAACCAAGATTGTTAAGATCATATCATACCTGCAAGTCTTAACCCACTTACGAAATTGCGAATGTACAAAACTTAAGAATTCACATTTAAGTGACAAAATGGTTGAACAAGACATTATTATAATGGAAATTAAAACAATAACACGAGTTTTGAAGCAATTGAACAGTGTTGAAATTGAATGGTGTTTGAATTATATTTCAGTACAGCGTGCATATTCAAATTTGATTCAAAATCTAATCAATTATTTTTATGTAAGAAAACAAATCGCTTAATTTGACGATACGTTATCGTAAATAATATAAGCAAATAACTACTGGTTTTTTTATTTATTATCAACTATATATATATATAATATTCTTCTATATATATATTAAGATAGAACGTTTGTATGAATCTTCTTTGTTTTTTTGTTCTAATGGATTTTTTAAATAATTTAAGAAAATTAAAAATTCTGAAGAAGCTCGGTGGCGCAATGCCGCGGTCTGCGATTGTCGCTAAGCATATTTCGCAAGCTGCATTTGCAGCCGTTATTATCCTCTAATTCATTCATTTATAGGGCTAGCCGCTTAATTACACTCAAATTAGAACTCAAAAAATAAACAGCTGTAAGATTAAAAGTTGACTATGCAAATGATGCTTTGACAAATAAGGAGCTATTACTTACTTATATGACACATGCAAAGATAAGTCTTTGAATCTGTCTATTACGCTCTCATATCTAAACGACCGAACCGAGTTGACCTTAAGATAGAACATAAGTTACCTCTTATTGTGATGAAGTAGTATAAGTAGAAAATGAAAGTTTCTACGGAAGTTCGTCGTTGTCAAAAATCAAATCAGGAAATACATCCAAGTAATTACACCATATAATAAATACATATTTGTTTTAGTCTGCTGTGCCTAAGTAAAAATACCACGCCGGCGAAGACGTGGGCAAAAGCTAGGTTCTTATATTTTTTGATATGGTATACCGAAACCGCGAATAACAATACGTTTTAAAGAGTCTGCAATTGTTCAAATTATAATATGCATTTACCTTGTATTAGAATGAGTCTTGCAATCTTATATTTCGCATTATAAATACATAATTTCAGCAATTTTATGCAGTCTGGGTAAAACAAACATTCCCATAATCATTGTCAATTATTTAATTTATGTGACGCCGCTTCAATTATGATTTCTAAAGCCAAACCGGAAGTAAAGGCGTCGCAATTTCCAAGGTAGCTTCCTAGTCAAAGACACTGAAGAACTTAACTTTCTGAATACCATTTGTTACTAATACCATTATAACAAATCCGAATAAATATGATCCGGTAGTTGAACTATTAGAAGATCATCAGGTCTTGACTATAAACTCTAATCGGGGAATAACTCGAATAAATTTTTGGTTACCCATGCTATGACCTACATATCCTATATTCGCACTTTATATAGGCATCCTTGAGGCCCAAGATCGGTACGCCATATCATTAGTAGTTTTACCAGAAATATCTTTGATGTTTACTTATACTATCGTAACTCTAGGATAAGATTGGTCTAATTCTAAAGCCTATATATAACCTCCTCCCTTTTGATATTGAATTCGATTAAAAAGAAGAATTCTTATATTAATACATATCATTTACTCATGCTATGCTATTTTTTTGTGATAGGTACCTCGGCACCGACACTCAGCTATTTCTTATCACATTAATTGTGATGCTCATCATCTGGAGATGGCCAAGGAGCGGAGTACCAGTACTGTCTGTCGTGATGGTTATTAGTCTACTCATACCGTTCCTTCAAAGCTTCTTCATGAATCTAATGCCTATTCGTGTCAGTCTGTTTCCTGAGTAAGTATTCTTTGAGCAATTTAAAACAAGATGCAGAAGAAGCTAAATTTTTATCCACTTGGTGGATAAGTGGGGTACTAAAAGCTAAACGTATAATTACTACTGATAGAAAATAAAGAGAAATCTTTTCATAGGCAGTTTTGAGTACACATTACGTTATGTCAAGTCTGCGTGACTTGGAATTTGAAATCAACCGAAATGGATAAGCGATGCACGCAAACGCGCGGCTACTTTGCACATCGCAACGTAACTACTTATTCTCAATTTACCTAAAATTTCACTTTTCCGTATTCAGGTCAGTACTTATCACTAGATGAAACAACTATGTGTAAGGCAGCCGTGCAAATGCATCAACTGGTTCGTTAGTCATACTCCTTACCGTCCTGATTATAATCTAAGTGATAAGGAATCTCAAGCAGTATTAACTGTTTATGCAACTATTTTTTTCACCGAGTGCTCATAAGTCGTGGCTGGCTGAATGACGAATTAATGGCTCTAACCTTTTTCTCTTCAAATGAAATTAAAAATTTACCATCTACATTGGGATTCGTACCCTTTTATTTTTTCACTGTTTTGTAATTACTGCCATTATTATATTTTTATTGCCTTTCTTTATCATTCATTTTAATTAATAATGAATCCTTTGCAAAATATGAACGTTACTTTTTTTTTGTAATAATAGTGAAGGGGAAATTCATGAGACTTGATCAGGTAGGAGATATACTCCATTACACGCAATCTGTAAAAAAAATCGTCATTAGATGTTCTATTGTTTTTTAGACGAATTGAGAAAACAAAAAATAACACACAACAATCGGATAGAAATCCCAACTGCGCGAATTTTGAACGATTTTATGTATGAGTATCACGGCTTTTACTTGATCAAGTCTGCAGGAGTTCTCCAACTTGTTTCTGTAAAACTAGCAGAAAGATAATTCACTTTCGTCAGCTTTTAATATGTTTTTGTGTTCTATTTGAATGTTATATTTTACAGGTCAATAAGAGACATATTTGGATACAATGATACGTTTTATCACGCGTATGTATCAGCTCAGGGTAATTGGGCTGGATACCATCTAGGAGTGGTGACCGCTTACTTCTACCACAGAGCGCAACAGGAGAAGTGGAATTTACAGGACTCACTTGTAAGAGATAATGCTTAGTCGAAAACATTGGCACAATAGTTAATTTAATAATGCTTGTTTGTTACTTATACAATTTACGCGTTTTGCTGACTGATAAAATATAAAGTACATCATAAACTGAGAGACTATATCCATTGTAAAACCTGCTGTTACGTAATAGATTGCGATAATATTCGTACCCTTTCGTGGCATTATTAGCTCAAAATGAAGTCTTAGTTTAAAAAATGTAACAATTAGTCCAAGTTCTAACTTGACAAATTAATCTATGAAAATTGGGGTTTGATTTTTAATAAGAACAAAGAAGAAATATCTTTTGGGACAGACTTTCGAAATTGTTATATTCTAAGGAACTTTCCATTATAGTAATAAATTTTCTTCTTTTTTTTTTATTAAAATGTTGGTATTAAAAATCTACTCGCATAAATCTATGTAGGCACTAAAGATATTACTACCGTTGCTATCCTGAATTATTTAGTGAATTTTGTAATTATAAATCTATAAAATATTACAGTCCCTGCTTAAAAAGTTAATTAAGCATCATTAGCAAAGTTTCAGCGTTGAAATTAGTATCTAGCAATTTATTTAACTACGTATTAAATCAACACAGTTGAATATAAAAAAAAAATGTTTGATATTTATTTTTCCATAATAAAAATAGTTAACAGCAATGTTATTCTGTAATATAAATTCTGTAAAATAATCAGTCTTGAACTCAACGTTTAGCATAGTGCTTTCACAGTTGTTTTATTACATAAAAACATAACAGTACATCGGGTTTTCCAAAACTATGAAATTTTCCTAATGAAGCTTAAACCTTTATTTGTAGTCAACATCGTTCCGAAAATTCCATAATGACCCTATTTTGCTCCTGTAGATATTAATGTTATGATACGTTAAGACTACTACACTATATATGGTACACTCAATGTATGCATCGAGTGTCTCTGTATGAACACGAATGTCTCTAATTGCAAAATGTATTGTGACACTATAATTGGTGTCTCATCAGTCAGTCTGTGTACACGCTTTGTCCAAATGTCTAGCTTCGTTGAAAAGTTTTCTAATTGGTTTGATATTTTTAAAACACTGCACTGCGATTGAATGCACAAATAAGTTTTACGCGAAAGAAGACCACAAAGAGCCTTGTTTTGTAAAAAGGCTATCAGAGCTTTTCGAGTCTTTTTCTTATATATTTTTCAAATAAATATTCAAAATCTTCATATTTCATTTGATGGAAGTTTTTATAACCACGATTATTTTCTGTGCGTAACTCATTCAGCAATCTATGGTTAGCTCCTCATTCCTACCTTTATTAATCCAATGATGTGCCTAAATACGTCTCTTGCGTTTTCGTCTTTTGTATTGTATCGGCTGCACGATATTTATCCAAGCTGACCGAGCATCACTAACTAGTTTGCGTGTGAAATTTTGGTGCACTGACTAATAACCACTACGACTACCGATCAGAGCAACACGATTAATAAACAAGGTGTAGCGTCAGAGTAAAATTACAATTTTAGTATTACATAGTCCAAATTCATATTATACAGAGAATAAACAAACCTAATACCTACTAGGAGTAAATATTACACCCATAACCTTTGCTATCTCTGTTTAATAATATGAATTTTGACTAATTCTATGTGCAGTCTCAGAGTAAATATACTCCAACGCTAAACCTTGTTTCTTATAACACTGTATGTGTAAACAGTACAGACATTAATGTCGGAATTTCTGTCATGGTCTAAACGTACCATTGGGATCTCTTTCTAGATTCTTTTTTAATTATAATAAAATAACCAACCTTTTTTTCTTCACAGCTCTTGAAACTTCTCTTTTTGGCATCAGTGCCTGTAGCCCTTTTTGCAGTATTAATGGGCTGGGATCTGCATCATCGTGAAGCTTCAGCCTTGGAAGCTGCTGTGTTCAACGCACTGAACCAAAATTTCTTCGCTTTAGCGATGTGTGTCTTTATCATTGGATGTTTCTATAAATGTAACAGTAAGTGAATACTCATTTTTGCAATGTACTAAAATCTTTTCAATTTGATGATGTGTCTTCATCATTGGATGTTTCTATAAATTGATTAGATTGGATTAAATTTCAGTTGCATGATGAAAATGATTAGATTTTATTAAATAGGCAGCATAGAAAATAGATTTATAAACTCAAAAGTTATCTTAGTCGATATGTATGTACGTACATTTTTACTAGCGTGAATTTTGACATATTTGGATACACCATTTACAAAATATTAACTAAAAAATACTCTACATTATATGGAATATTCAAACTGCCCACATTATTTTTACAATTTCACAGGAATTTATGTAGGTTCAGTAGAATGGGGTCCACTACAACCCCTCGGAAGAATGTCCTACTGTGCTATGTTACTCCACGCTACTGTATTGAGAACTTATGGAGGTCAATTGAGGAGGTCTTTTTACGCCACCGACTATACTGCCGTAAGTCATTCGCTTTTTTTATTAATATAATTTTCTTAAACATAACATCATGAACAGTACGCAGGCTCATATTTTCATTTGCAATTCCAAGAATATTTACCATTACTAAACCTTGTTCTATACTTTTACTTCAAGAGCTTTCACTTGCTATATGAGAACAGGAGCTGTTTTTCATTTATAATCATAAATTTGATGATTTTGTGAAGTTGCTCCGAGTGATCTGGAAAATAACACTTCCAAATTAATCAAGTTTAGTCTTTGTGGTCCCTCGTCAATTAGATATATGCCATTGTAAACTGCTGTTGTTGTATTTGTAAAGGAACAAAACAGCTGTCGTTGATTTTAGAATTTTTAGTATAGTGAGTGAATTATTTTATTTCAGATAATGTTATACGCCGGTATAGTCTGCACTACATACATTTGGGCTCTCCCTCTTTATTTGTTCGTGGAAGCGCCGGCTTGCCAACTCCAGAAAATTCTATTAGGACCAAAAAGGAAACCTAAGGTTATGGAAGATAGCAATGGCAACCAAGTCAAGCCTGGGATTTCAACTGTGTCCGTGTCAATAGTTTCGACTCATATATAGATTAAGATTAAAAATTTTGTATGGTAGAAATGCAATTCTCTAAGGTTTACCTCATAGAATACAGGAAGTTTTTAAAAATATAAAATTTAAAACAACTATGTTATTCTGGAAAAAAAAAACAGCCTAGAACTCATCTTTGAATGCAACGCTGTTATTTCGTAAAGCTTCAATAAAATAAGATAAGGTTTTATTTAACTGAACCTCTATAATATTCTAAGCGTAATACGGAATAATAGTGATGTCTCGCTTGCTGCAAGGATTAAACTTTGCTTGGGAGTTAATGAATAGGCTCCATGATCTTTAAACTACTTAAGGTGGAAATATGGACTGCCAAATTCAATTCTCGTCATTCTTCTTCTTTTTCTCAGTCGTACATACCTGGCGAAGTGGTCGTGGATATGGATCGCTTTATGCGTAACTTTAAATGTTACTTAAAGTGTTATGATGGTAGTGATCTAAAATGAGCACAAACCAATGGTTCCGTTTCTCATACAAAAGGTTTGGACAATATACCTTTCTGTGTTCTATGTTTTACCATGAGTACAATATTGACTCATGGTAAAACAGTTCTTGAAAAATTTTGATTAATTAGTGATATTTCTAATATCATGACTAGTTTAACACTCCAGCAATATATTTTTCAGGTAAAGATAATATAATGTAATTTAGATAAGTTAATTTGTTCTCTTGTACGTGTACACATTTTTTAGTATTAGCTTTTTAGTTTTTACTATTTTGAGCAATTTTTATATTTTTTTTTTTTTACCTGGCATCAGCCATCTTAAGTATCTAGAAGTTATTCTCAATTTCTAAAAGCTTTCTTTTCTTATTTGAGTTGTTAATAAATGTATTAATATATAGTTCATTCTAGATGCTTGAAATATTAAATGTAGCTCAAAGTTATCAAATAATTCTACTTTTATCGCTTTAAAATATTCGGTAAAAGGATTTTACGACATTGTATAAACTTACATAAATATTGTATTATTAGAATTATTTTACTGTAGTTGTTGTGAAATGTAAATAAATGAGTATAACATAATATATTTAATAATATTTTATTTTGATGAAGTTCTTATTATGACACAATTATATCCAAAATCATCATCAAAACATTTTAATATGAAAAAAATTAAAATTGAACGTTATAAATTAAAATCCATTGGTTTCACCGATTTACTGAATACATTAAATACTGAAATTGTATTTTATAAAACAAATTTATGTATCATGTCATGAACAACTTCGACAATAAAAGTAACATCTAAAAAAACAGCATTGCGAATGTTCCACAAAGTCGTTACATATATCGTGGATCCAAGCTTCATTAATACAGTCTGTTATATTTACTAGAAAACATATAACTGAACGTTCATTTGTGGTATTAAATTAAAATTTATTTTAATGTATTTCGATATTTAATGTATACTAAATTAAAAAATTTAATTGATTACATGTTATATTTTGTGCAAACTGCTATAAAACTTGTTTCTTGTGTTTTCTCATCTGACATTTTCTTAAGGCAGTTTAGTTTAAAACAAGTATAGTGACTGTCATTACTATTACATGCCTTACAATAATAAAACATGCAATACTTTTTTTTACATTTATAAAAATAAACTCAAACCGAATATGGGGTAAAAGCCCAAACGAGAGCGCCAATAATAATACGATGGCTTTAATCCACCAATTTAATAGTTATCTTATTTTGTCTGAAAATATTTCCATTATGACACAATATAATAATATCCAACTACGAATTTAATTTGTAAATAGCTTATGAATTTGGTTCATAAAATGAACCTTCATATAAACTATTTTAAGCAAAATGAATAATTAAAAACATCTACAATTTATGCAATGATTTATCGCTAACGCTAGACTGTTCGATTTCATTGTTTCATACCACTGTGCGAGCTATTGAAAAGCACTTTGAATGAATACAGATTTGTGTGGAATTATTGAAACACTTTGATGTCGGCTTCGTCGATTCATTTATTATTTTGGTACGCCACAATGTCAGCCCACCTTTTGTTGTTTGGGATCAAAGATTATATAAACGTTATTTAGTCATTAATAAATGTTAAATGAAAAGAAATTGAGCTAAATGATGCGGTGATTAGCGCGTTCGGTGTGCGATTGTGGTGGTTTAGTAATGTTCGCCACTCTTTGGATGGTCGTATTACAATTTATAACAGCCAAATTGCAAATATAATGCTTTACTAAATTTGTTTTTAATTCCAGCTTCGCTCTCCGTACAATTGGCGAGAATTAATTATCAAATAAGCCCCGTACTCACAGAACAAGGAAAAAGACTACAACATAAATACGTATATACTGGGCGCCCGCATAATAAGTTATTTCCTTTTTGTATAAAAATCTTATCTCTTTAAGTAATAGCACTGGATCAAAAAAGTTCCTATTGTTTAAATAAATATTGAAGGATGCAGAAGTACAGAAGACCCACAGACACCTTTACTGTCCAATTGGTAACGTATTACTAGAGCAGTGATTCTCAACCACTGTGCCGCGGCACTTTTGTGTACCGCCAAATTTTGCAAATACATAATAATGTTAATATTATTAAATTATATAATTTAAAAAGAAAAATATTTTTAACGTGAATATATATTTAAATCCACAAAAAAATAAAATAGATAAAGCCCTGGTTGGCTGTATAATTGATACAGCCATATTTTATGCGTGGATACGTCTATGTATGAATGGATATATGAGTAATTGATAAAAATAAATATTATTTGCTTTGCAACACGTTTTTTCTTAGTGCCAAATTATGATGAAGCGGCGTGCAAAGCAATAGGAATATATCTCAAGTCGGCGTACACTTGCCACTTCTGCGTACAAAACGTGTTGTTTTAGTGATAGTTGGGATTCACAAGGTGTTGCATAGTAGTTACTGCACCTTTTCTTTCGTTAAAATTGGCAAATGTATGTGATTCGGTTTAATATTAATTTATTTGCATGTAGTGTCAATTTATAAATTTGTAAACCAAAAAAGCTTTAAACATATTATTACAATTTTCCACATCTTATTTGCGTGAATTCGGATTTTCAGCATTAGCCAACATTAAAACTAAAAAAAGATCAAGATTTTTAAATTTAGAAGACGATATGAGAGTAGTATTGTCATTGTTACGACCAAATATAAATGAAATTATCAAAAAGCATCAAGCTCAAATTTCGCATTAAAAATAATTTTATTATTAGCTTGTAATTAATCCCTTAATAAACGTTTAGTTATTATTATAGTACATATTAGTTTATTTCGTATATTTAAAATGTTTGTCATAAACTATTTATGCAGTGTGTTGTAGTAAGTAAATAATTTTTATCTTTTTCTTTGTGTGCCGTCAAAGTACAGTGATTTTCAACCTTTTTTTTTATTGCGGCACACAAAAAAAAGGTTGAGAATCACTGTACTAAAGAATAATACCGGTGAACGTATATGAAAATCAAACTACAAAAGTGCCTTATGGTGTAAAATCCTTTTTGCTTACAACGCAAGTTGTATAATGTGAAGTTTAAATAGATAAAAATTAAAATCTTTTCAAAAATGTGCACTTGTTAGACCTAATATCTTGAATAGACAAACTCGAAAGGGTTGCGTTATTTAATTACAAACTTCACACTACCTTACAGCACCTAACGCAAAATCAAGATATTATCTCAAACCAAAGTCCTTGTCAAGACAAATCAAACATAAACTCGATGGGGTTGTTTCATTTAAATACTAAAGTTCCGCGACTACCTTCCGGCTCCATAATCAGATCAGCTCCATTTTAAATAAAAATTGAATTGTAATCCAAGTTATATGTGTAAGCAAAATTTCAGCTCTAAAACCAGAGAGTTTATCGAATTTAGATTGCAAGATTGACCCATATTCTACTCTACTAACACGACTTGTTTGCCCCGGGCTGCGAGCAGCCCGGGGAGGTCACGAGTAGCTAGTGGAATCGGGGCGGTGGGGTTTTAAGTCCGCCTATTGTTATGTCGGGTTTACAGTTTGAAATTGCCTAGAAAAGGTCAGTAAGTTCTATCTTCAAATAAAAGGTGTTAAAGGACACAAAGCACCATACATCAAAGAAAAAGTGTTGCCAGTTGACACTTAATAGAAAAGAAATATTCAGTCGAAAAACGCAAGCAAAACTTAAAATAAATTTTGTATAGATACTTCAAATAAGTTTTGCCTTTTATTCTCTTATTCTTATTTATTAGTAAATTACTGTATAGTATTAAAAAACAATCGAACATATATTTCCATCAGTGTTACTATCATTAATTAATCAATTAAATGTCAAGAAATAGTATTTATTGTATTTGCATTATTACATTACATTATTTATGTAAGATTTATTTATTATATGAAAAGGGAACCGATATCGTGGCCAGATATTAGAATAGATCAATTCATGACGCGATTGGGTTTTAAGTTCGCCTTCGTTTCAGAATAGAAGCTTTCGCTTGGTTGCCCCGGGCTGCACGCAGCCCGGGGAGGTAACGAGTAGCTGGTGGAATCGGGGCGGTGGGGTTTCAAGTCCGCCTCCGTTGCAGAATTAGAGTCTTTCGATTTTTTTGTTATGTTTGTTTTATAGTTTGAAATCGCCTACAAAAAGTTAGTAAGTTCTGTCTTACAAAAAGGTGTTTAAGCACCATACATCAAAGAAAAAGGGTTGCCAGTTTACGCTTAACAGAAAAAGAAATATTTAGTCAAAAAACGCAAGCAAAACTCCAAATAAATTATAGTCTCTCACTATAAAGATCCCGAATTGTCAAGTCCATCGAAATCAAAATTGAAATTAAAATAGTCACGATCATCTTTTAAACATTATAAACCAAATGTTACCATCAACAAAAGCGATTCGTTTCTGGCACTTCGCCGGCCGCTGCACGCTCACTACGCTCGCTCGGCTCGTGCGTTGTTTTTCATACACTAACCTAACCTAACCCATATGTCCTAATAAACCTATACAAGTTTTTGT